GATTATGTTGTATTTTCAAAAATTTTGTATTTATTAATTACAATTTGCATGAAAACTAGTCTTGTTAGCTACCCTAACATTTATGGAATTCCTTGGAGTTGTCCATTACCTGCCAGTAGTTTTTTCTTTCCTGGTAGAAATGGTACTTGTTAAACAAAACTTTGGACCTTTTCCTTTAATATGGATCTGTTCATTGCAAAACAGCTAGCAGTTAATTAAAGTTTGAGAAAGAAAGCATACCTGCTAAAATTGTCTGTAGCTAAGATTCTACTAACCATAAGATAGCTTAATATGTTACTGAATATTTGCAAATACTTTCAAACATACAATTGGAATTTTCAGCGGGTTTGTTAACTCGAGACAGAAGAACACGAGAAAGAAAAAAACCAGGACAAGCTGGAGCCAGAAAGAAGTTCACTTGGTTAGTTTGTCATTTTTATGTATGTTTGGATGTGATTTATAAAGAATGACCTATTTGTGGGTCTTAGTTTGTTTTAGAGGTATAGTACATATAAAACTGATCTAGATAAATACTGTTTTTTACATATTACATTGACTTAGAGAATTGTTGCTCCTTACATGTGCCATATTTTGACCTTGTGAACTTTAATAAATAAATGTTCTCTGAAGTATATGACATTTGCAGTGTAGTATTCAATCTTGCAATCTGTCAGAGCCTTAATGTGTTTTCAAAGAAAGAAATAAAACACCATTTTAATAAGAATTTATGGTGTTGTATGAGCATTGTAATTTTTGTACTGGGCAGTTTTATAAAGTACCGTTTGATACTGAGTATTCTAACCCCCCCCCTTATTTATGCATTACAATGATTTTGAAATCAACACTTACTGAGACTTGCTTTTTTTTCCCCAACAATTTTTAAAGTTGATTTGGTGAATATAGTGGTCAGAAGGGCTCTAAATATAGATTTATTTTATGAAAAACTGAGGAATATTATGGGTGTTACTAAATTCATCAACCAAAATAAATAAATCCTAATTGTACGGACTTATAATGTGATGAATATGAAGTAGGAACCAATTAGGCACACTGAAAACTTGTATCAATATTTTGTTTAAATATCCATTCCAGCATAAAAATAAATTCACAATGAGTATTTTTAAATGTGCATTAATATATTTGTGACCCAAAATGTTATAATGTCAGTGATTTAAAAATAATCAAAGACTGGGAAGGCCGGATCAACAAGTCTACATAACACCATTGCTTCTTAAATTGTAAATATTCTTTTTATAAAAGAAACACAGTTTTGCTGCACTCATTATTTTTACCTTGTAGTCTCGCAAAAATTTCTAGTTTGAAAATAAAACTTTCGAGAAAACAAAGTGAATTGTAGGTTTGCTTTTTGTGCTAAACCAGTTTTACTGAGCATTAATCAAAATACCTAGAAATTAATTTTTTCATATATGCAAGTACCCCTGGTTCAGTGTGATTTTAGTTATAAACTTTGATAGTAACTAAATACTTATTTTTGTTGACTGTATAATGCTTCTTTTGAAGATTAGAAAACTTTTATAACTTAAATGTTTTAATTTTTTGTTGTTACAGGAAGAAGAGGTGATGGCCACAGTCATATATAGTAATGTATTTTCTTTTATCCATTGTGACTTGTATCTCAAACTAAATGATGTAATTTAACATTGTTTTTGTAGTTGGTATGTACGAACACTCAGAGTAATAAAATTATGAAACCAATAAAACTTGATTAAGCAAGATATTTATGTACATAGTATAATTTATTTTTCGGAAAATTTAGTAATGCATGAACAAAGTGTACAGAATTATTTTTTCATGTATGAAAATGGATAAAACCAACAACAATGAAATTATTCAAGAATATTAGTTTTTATTAACTTTAGTATATACATGTAAATATTCTATATCATAAACTTTAAGAAAATAGAGAAAAAAATAGGAAAATTTCCCTCTGATTGTTGTTTATTCTGGATATTTTAAAAAATCTAGCTTTGTGCAGACAAATAATTTACTTTGATATTTGAATTACAATTTTTTTTCATAGAGTTTCAGATGTTACATTTCTACTGTACATAATTAGCGCTTGACTAAATGTTGTGATAAACATTTTTTTGCTGCCCCCCCCCTGAAAATATTTCAGGTTGTGATGATTCTCCACACACAGTGACAACAAGTTACTATTCATACTATACAAAACCCAGTTTATAATAAATAAAGACTTTATACTTTTGCTGTCAGGTTTTTATAGGGCGAGATTCTTCACAGTAGGGGTCTGTGACTTGTTGGTGGTAAATTTCAACAATAAATGGACAGCACATGATCCACTTGTTTTAAAATAACATATAGAAAGCAAGTCAAACATGTACAAAAATTCGTTACACTATTGGTTATCATAGTTGTATCCACAACTTTAAATAATTGTATATTTTTCATCAAATTCACACAGGCAGGTTCAGTTAATTCAGAACAGCCTTTGACAAGACAAATTATTCTACTCAACTTTGTTATCACAAAATAATGAATGTTAAATTTACTTACTTTACCCCATGGGTTAACCACAGTTGTATACAGAGCCTTAAATAATTCTCTCTTTTTATGCCAAAAGTCCACACAGGCTGGTTCAGTTACTTTAGACCTCAATTGACAAGACAAATTATTATTCTCTATCTCTGTTGTTACAGTACAAGCTGTGAGACTCGCTTCAAATATTGCTCATTATGGCTAAACTGCAATCTAATTTCACCTTCACTTACTTCTTTTTACAAACTTAACTTTTTTCCTCTCTGTATTAGCATGTCTTTATAACATGCAACAGAAATATCTAGCTCCTTGTGACAACAATATTCACATAACAAGAAATACTTAGAATCCTCAAGATGACATCAACAATATTACAAAAGCCTAATACAACAAACTGCATACACAATGTACGACTCATACAGAGTAACGTAACAAAACTTGTCATATCTTTTAAAATAATTAACTTTTAACACTTGTTATGAAAACTAAATAATCATTAAATATTAAATCACTAAATAAGAACTCTCAAACTAAATAGTCTTATATATCCATCAATAAGCCCCTCTTCAAGAAAAATATTTACAATGTATTTTTTTTACTACATACAAAGACTTTTCTCAGTTCATATATGAAGTCTCCTCATATAATTTGCACCAACATTTGCAATCCCCTTGATGGCTTCAATGTGGAACCTGTAGTTTTAGAGGTACAATGCCCACCTCATGATCCTCGCACTATCGATTTTACACCTCTGGATGTATGTAAGTGGTTGATGGTCTGTCTGCATGGTGAACTCCTTCCTGTATAGGTAGTGCTGGAACTTCTGGATGGCAAATATGATGGCCAGACACACTCGTTTGATCACAGAGCAGTAGTTCTCACTACTCAACAACTTTTTACTTGGATACATTACCAGAAACAGTCTATCATGTTCTTATAGGAGTACTGCTCCAATTCCAATGTATGAAGCATCAGCCTGAAAGAAGAACAGCTTGTTAAAGTCTGGCATTATAAGGATTGGCAAGCTTCCCAACATGTTCTTTAACTTCTTGAATGTCATCTTCTGTGGTTGTTCTCACTTCATCTTGTTTGGTAGGCTTTTCTTTGTCAGATCAGTCAGTGGTGCAGCAACTTGGGTGTAGTTTGGGATGAACTTCCTGTAGTATCTTGCTAACCCCACGAAGGATCTGACTTGCTGCTTGGTCATTGGAGCTGGTACATCTTGTACGTGGGTTAGCTCCTCCTCTTCCATGGCTATCTGTTGGTCACCCACCTTGTGTCCAACAAGCTCCAGCACTAGATAGCCGATGTAGCAGTTAGAAGATGATCTGAGGGTCAGACCTGCTGCCCTCACTCGTCTGAACAGCTCTCTAAGTTTCTTCAGGTGACCTTCCCATCTGGCTGTGTGTGTGTCAAAATATTATTCACATAATGATCATTGTTGGTGATGTTGTGCAACATCTTCCTCATCATGTGATTGAATGTTGCAGCTGAGTTGACTAACCCAAACAGGATCCCCTTAAACTGGTAACATCCATCTGGTGTCACAAAGACTGTCTGTTTTTTTTAGATCATATCTCCAATAACCTTTACTGAGGTCAATCTTTGAAAAGAACTTGTCTCCATCTAGTTTTGCCATAATAGCCTCTGGATTGTCCATAGGTTCTAAGTCAAATTTCGTCACACGGTTCTCCTTTCGGAAGTCTATGCAGAAGCTGTTTGATCCATTCCTCTTCTTTATGATTACCACTGGCAAACAATAGGCTGAATTCGATGCTTGATGATTCCAGCTTCTAACATTGCCTCAACTTCCTGCTTTATCAGGTCTCTCATCACATAGGGCATCTGATAGGGCTTCACCTTGACTGGATCATTAGTCGTGGTCTCGATCTGCTGTTGCACAAGGTCTGTCTTGCCTGGTCTATCTGTGAAGACATCTGCATACTGACACAGTAGATCTTGTAGCTCTTTCTTCTGCTTGCCAGTCAGTTCTTCATTGATGTTGACTTCTTTGTATGTCTGATCTCCACCCAGAGGTTTTAGGTCTAGAGGTCTTCATCTTCTGTGACAAAGTCACTGTCTTCTGGTTCTGCATCTGTGACAGCCACCCTTGTAATATTTGTCTGTGCCATAATAGCTGTACCTGTTATGACTTTTCCTCTCTCGAAGTACTTCTTCAACAGGTTTGCGTGGTAGATCTTGGTCTTCCCTTCCACTTTCACCTTATAGTCCATTCTAATTCGATGACGAGGAACCCACTTTGAGACTAATAATAGCTGGAGAAGGCTTGAATGGGTAATGAAGAAAAACTTTAATATGAGTTTAACAAAACAGCAAATGTGCAATGTTTCGACAAGGTTTTGTCATCATCAGGTACAAGTAGTTTACACTGACATGGATATATATATACAGTATTGAACAAAGAAGTCACATGACCAGAACTGTTGCGAAACTTAGAAGAAGTATCTAGGCACCCCGGGGTGTTGGTTTAGAGTAGGGTTGTTTTGTTCAATTAAGATGGTGTCAAAAAATGCTAAAAATTATTTTTTATCTACTAATACCTGTAAGACTAGATCTCAGTGCATTTAATTTTATAGTTAAGCTTGTTTAGTTCAAATGTTAATTGTAGTTGTTTAACATGACAGTTATTACTGAAAATGTTGATAGGATGCAATTCAGTTTTATAAACCTTATAAAAATATTTTTGCAACATTAATTATTGTGGAACATTTTAGTAACATTTGAAATGGGCCAGACATGGACTAGCAATTAGTATACCAGGCTATGAATTAAAAGGTTCAGATGCTACTGAATATGCTCTACATATGTAGTTGTAAGTGCATTATAAAAGTGACAGTCAATGTCATAATTCAGTTCAAAGAGCTGGACAAAGTCCTTGTGTGGTACTTGTTGCTTGCTGGCTAGCTTACTTCTCTCTTGTCAGTAGTTACTGTTCAGCCAATGTGTATATAACATGTCATTCTTGTTCTGAATAAATATTGCATTCAGAGATATAACAATCCAATCCAGCAGAGCTGTTTCACAGCTATTGCTACAAGATAACTTGTACCATAAGTTCATACCTGTAATGCTGATACAGAAACCAATAACAAGAAGCAAATTTTCTTTTGTGCAGCCAAACTATTTGTGAAAACACTGGTTGGAAAGAGGGCTTTTCAGTCAGTGCCTGATATATCACAGGGATGAGTATAAACCTATTAGTTCTTGTATCTACTATTAACATAACCTTACATTTGTGTATTTGCACAGTTATGTACATGTCACACTTGGCCCTGCATGTACCAAGCATCTATCACACCTTTGGATACAGACCAGTCCCTGCTCCCTCCCAGGTCAACAGCCATGCCAAACTTGGGGCCTGTTAGCTTAACCTAATGGGATATGTAATCATCATAGCCTGTATCTTATTTCTGTGTTGCTGCTGAAACAGTCAAGTAGATGAGTTTTGCCAATTCCCATCCTGATAGTATAAAGGACATAAGGTGTTCTTCTTCCATAACTCTAATTGTCCACTGACGAAGTAGGTACTCTTATATTCTGCACCAAACAGTACTTGTGGAGGAGCAGCAGCTTTATAATTATTCTGAGACTTACAAGATGCAGGTGCCTCAGGAAGTCTTGTAGTTTCTTTGAATCTATCAACTTAGTTGAGATGATCAGCTCAGATCTTGTAGCTACAGATATGACTTCTTTCGTGATTTCTGCTTACCAATGGTGCCTGACAGGTTTGCTTTAGGGAATTTTCCATGAGGGTATTCTTGTAGTCCACTGAAGCCGTTCCATCCCATGTAGGACAAATCATCTGTGTAGGCAGAAAAATTATCATTGGGCCTGCAGCTCTGAGCCTTAAATTTGACCTGGTTCTTTACTGGGTTTAACCTCCTCCATGCGTTGCCTACGATGGTATCCCAAAGACTAGGCATTCCACCAATCACTTACTGAAATCTCTAGAGGAATTTGTTCAAGTCCTGTGCATTTAAGCAATTGCAAGTATGTTTTTGTATGTGATATCATGAATATCTGTTTCATTCTTTAGCAGTTTGAAGTGTGCAACACTTGAACACAGATGTACGACTGGAAGCTTTATCTCAGTGAACCCATACCCTGTTGGCCTCATTTCCAGATAGAGATCCTTTTTGATTATGTTGTGTACTGTTGCCTGGGAAAAGAGGATAACTTTTGCCACTGATGTTACAAAACAATGCACTTAGCTTACAAATTGTTGCAAGTCTCTTTCTAGATGATCCTAGTTGATCCATATTCCTTTGTTTTCCAATGCCATTATATATGAGGGATATCATGTCCTTGATATATCTTGATGAAGTAACATATGTAAAGTGTTTGCATTCAAACATATTTCTCATCAAGATTGATAGACAGTACCATTACACAGAGGAGAATGTATGTACAGATATGTTAATGAATTGCATGGTGACAGGTTTGTAAATGTCTTACCACACTAGTGGTGACATATTTTATTGATTAAAGTTGTAATACAAAGTTTACAACATAACTGACCCAATGAAATTATTAATTTTATGGAGAGTCATCTAAGTCTTAATACCATCATGATATACCACTTAATAGTAAACTATGCTGTTTTTTTATGAAAACTTTGATAAAACCTGTATTTCTTTTTTTATGAAATACATTAAAAAACTAGAGTGATTGGATTTGCTGAAAGTTTGTGTTCCTTTACAGATATAAAGGTCAATCTTTATGAATATTAAAATTGTAACAGTACAAAGCTGGTTAAAATATTTTCTACATTTTTTTAATGTATAAATCAAAATCTAATAGTGATTCTAATACATTTAATAGTCCTGTAATGAGATAATGCTAAGTACAAAAAAAAATCTTGATGACAGTGTTATCATACATGAAATTTTTATGGAACATTCAAAAGTTTATGAAATTGCTTTAAAAAAGTTCATAAATTCAAAAAGAGTTAAAATTGAAATGTGAGCCATTGCAGAAGGTTTGACATGATATTAATCCTGAATACAAAATTCATAATGGAAGAATTTGACCTCTTCTCCTACACATCTAGTTACACTGTAGTAAACTGACAGCAAAGCAGCTTTGAAGAAAAGATAGATAGGGGGGACATCAACGATTTACTGCTCTTGGAAGTAATGAAAACTTTACCTTCCACCCAGGTACAGTTCAATATAAAAAAAACTATCTGCTCATGCTTCAAATTTGGCCCCTCCCTTTAACTTAAAACAAAGTTTGGTGTTTTTACTCTGCATTTTTTAAGTAAGTCATACAACTGAAATATCTGAACAAAAACATAATGCAAACTATTGTCAGTGTTTAATTTCTTCTTCTGATCCATTTTCCTCATCATCTGTCATCACATTAACTAATGAACCAACAGCTTTGCCCAGACTACCTGCCATATGGAACAGACTGTCTACTCCAGTTGATCTTGCAGCTGGTAGGTAAAAAAGACATGAAAAGTAACTTTCAGCTGTTTCATTAGATAATATAACTCTTATGTACAATTGTCTAATCCCACTTTTACAGTTACATAATGAATGAATAATGAAAGAAACTTTATTACAAGTTTCACATGTTAACAAATGTACAAGGTTTTACCATCATCAGTTACTGTGTTAAGTAATAACATTTTCTTCATTGCCCATTCAAACCGTCTCTAAGGTTCAGTAGTCTCAGAGTGGGTTCCTCATTATCAAAATTACATAAATAAGTCTTTTATGATATCATAAACCTTTTATTTGCTGGTCCTTATTGTTAGTTTCGGTAAGTACATATAAAAAAATACCACTATTGGTAGTCTATGATGAAAGTTTGTCAAAATAATGTTGATCAACTTTCTAAAATACTTCTGTATGAATTTATTGTATACAAAGATGAAAACCAAGTTGTTGGTTTCAGAAAACTGTTTATCGAAAATAAGTTGTTTGGTTAGATTAGTCTTTCCAGTCAGAAATAATATATTTAGGGATGAAGTTAGATTAATATTTATGGATGTTTTGTAAAAGATATTTGGAAAAACTTAGGCAATACATTCAGCTCAATTTGGTGACTGACACTCCTATAATAGCTATAAGTACATTTTGAAATGAACAGTTTATTAGTTATGAACAAGATAATTAAAGTAGATTTATATACCAAGACCATAAATCTTTTCACCTTATTACCCCAGATTAGTTACAATCTGCCTGGAAATGTAGACACTTATGATGATAACTAAAAATTTTATAACACCAGCAAATGTAAGGTTATCATAAAAAACATCAATCTTACCTAAATGATTTCCTGCTCAATCCACACCCACGAAAACCACCAGTTCATCACATTAGGTCATAGTGACATCATCAAAATTACATTCCAAGAAGACCGGAAACAAAACAGGTTGTTTTTTTTTTACTTTTAATTTTTTTAGGGCTATTTGCAAAATTTAAAAGAGTTTAAGAATTAGGAACTTCAGAGCTGTCAGAAATACTGCAACATGGTTTTTCACATTAAGATTGCTTTTGCACACACCTTTTCTATTGGTGATAAAAAAATATGTGTTAGTTTTGTATTTATAAATTAATGAAACTAAGATTGATCAAACAGGGTATTTTAAAATGCAGAAAAAAAACTTTAATTTGATAATTTTTTAATGGTAAATATTGTTGGGTAGGGATTTTGTTTAATCTCAATGACACATATAAAATAAAAGTTTTGAACTTTAATATAAATGGTAAGATTAATTTACATCTTATGATAGAGAAATCTCCATCAAGCCTCTGTTACCTGGCTCTGAGGCAACACCATTCCTCCGAGGTGTATAGTCAGTAGAATGGCTTCGTCCATGGTGAAGAGAAGATTGAGGAGTTGTGTAAGGGGTGCTCTGCAGCAAAACTGAGTTACCATGTAATGAACCAGACGATGGCTGGTGGGAGACAGAACAATTAGTTAGTACACAAATTCTGTGATTGGTATAATGTTCTATATAATCATTATGACAAAAAAATTAAGTATTTGAATCCATAAACAAGATAACACGTTCTTCCCATGAAACAAATATTTACCAATCATTGAAATTTTATGGTAACTCAAAGTTAAAAACTTCTCAAAATAATACTTCATTTTACTTATTTTACATCTCTTATGTAAACACAGTCTAATTTTTAGCAAATTTTAAGTTGTTTTTTTTATGAAGTTTACATATGGAAAAATTCTTATAATTTGAAAATTTCTTTTGAAATTAAATTGAAAGTTAATATTCAGAAAACATGTAAGATCTAGAGAGATAGGAAACAAAATAAAAATACTTTAAATCTAGACAACTTCATGATTTAACTTTAACATTCTATCTACATATCTATACTACAGATTAGTTATGATTTACATTAGCAAAGTTTTATCAAATAATATGATTTACTTTATAACACAAAGAAATAAAAAAACATTTCTGGTACTTTATAGATTTCACTAACTTAGACAAGAATTGATATAAATGGCAACAACTAAAAAATTATAAAATTAAGGATATATATCTATGTGTGAAGAGCTGCAACTAATATCCAAGGCACTTAATAAATTTTTACATCTAGATCATTGCATGGCTGCTAATTTAACTGTTGTCAATTGGTAAAGCTAAAGTTAGTTGCCGATATACATGAACTGTCAGCTAGTTGTAAAAAATCTAGCTCCTAATATAAGACTGGTCAAGTAATCATAATAAATCTTGATGACAACTAGTTCATAAAATAGAACTGGCTAACTATTCACACAAAAATGAGTTACTTGCAAATGATATCACATTTAGTCAAACAAGAGAGCTAGTGGTAACAAAGCCTGAATGTATCCACTTACATATTTTAATGTTAACTTTTAACTACCCTAATCAAAGATTTTAGATTTGGTAGCTTTTGTTGGAATGACAACCAAATTAAGGTCTGAATCCCTGAACTTGTCATTTTCTAACATTACTTAGAGAAGTAAAAGTACAACACTTAGACTTAACATCATTTTGGTATAAATATAGATGTCTTTTAGTAAATACAGTTTATTACTCCAATATCAACTTAGATCATGTGTGCATGTAAGGAATATTTTTACTATATATATAAAACTTTAGTTTGTTATGGTACAGGTAGTAAATTCTTTCATCTTGTCTAGTTTTTAGATCTTCATCAAAATAACTAACACAGTCATATTTCTGAACACATGATATTACTGAAATAAATTCTACCACTTTGATTTAATATCAGTTTTACATAGAAGATGCATTTCAGAACACCATTAGTGAGTTAACATGGTCCTTACTAAAAAATGTTTTGCTATTGCTATGTATGTCTCAGCTGAGTAATTTGGGCATTTTAATAGTTCTTGATCTAACTGTTAAGACTATTTACATCACATGTAGCTACTATCACACAATATTCTTCTCATTGTTAAAGACTTTAAAACTAGACAGTTCAAAATCCACGTGTGATGTACACAGTCACATGTTACTATAAATTGATAGTCACTGCTTACAAATGTTACATGTACATAACATAAGAAGGTTTATCATCTAGCAGCTAGGGAAATTAAATCACTGGAGTCTTAATACATTTGGTTTTCCAATTACCTCATTCAAAAGTTTTCGAAGTCGTTGCAGCTGGGCTTCCAACTGACAATTGTGATCTTCTAGTATCTGCATTCTGGCTTCAAGTCGGCCTTTGTGTTGCCTAAGGAGCTTTGCCTCAGCCAACATTTCTTCATTACGACTTGAAGTGTATAAGGTCTCATCACAAACATCATCTGTGGTTGGAGGTGACATTCCCTGTACAGCCTGTTTTCCTTGGAGAATCTCAAACTCAGCATGGAGGTTTCTGTAGAGGAACAATTTAACTGAACTTCAGAAAGGAAAATAACTTGTAGAATATATTAAAAGCTTACCACATTTCATGTAGATACATATAGTGCATTCAAAAGTATAGTCAACATTCCTTCTCCAGTACCAAGTCAGTCCACTGGACTGACTCTGTGTACATTTGGTTAAAGGTAATGTGATTACAGGTATGATGTACATAGAAACAGCTTTAATACTATTCCTCTAATTTGGGACAAATGTCTCTTCTTTAAGCAAGAAGCAAGTGTTTTTGCTTTTAAAGAAACAAAGTGTTTCTACTCTTAAAAGAATCTAGCATTCTTTTTTCCTTAGAAGTAAGCATTTCTCTGCTTAAAAGAAATTTTTCTTTTTACTCAAAAGGAGGTTAGTATTATTTTTCAAGAAAATTTTACAAATTTTCCATAAGAATTTTGTAAGAGGTCCATTACATTGAAAGTGGAAAAATAAAAATAACTCTGAGAATCAGCCAGCAAAATCCTGCAGTCTTGGCACATCCAGGTTTTATTTTATTTTATTTTTTGTTGTCTGCAAGTTGCTATTACTGGAAGAAGCATTACTACAGGATAAATATTAGCATTTAAATTTTACATTTTTAGAATTAAAATCAATTTCAAACAGGTACTTACTCCTTAAATACCTAAAACTTTGCTTGTTGAGTTGCTCTCATGCTGTCAACAACTATGTAATTTTACATTCTGAACACAATGCAAAACACGTGTGCATTTACCCAGAACCCTGCACTCTTCCACCTTCCTTTTACTTATTCCACCTATGTTAAGAGAACTACATAAGTTCTGCTTTACTTCCATAATCCAGATTTCTTAGTTGTAGTCGTGATGGAGGAAGTGGGTAGGAATGAATTTCATAAGTACCTGTTTGAAATTAATTTCAATTTTAAAAATGTAAAATTCAAATCAGGTTAAGTTTAACTCTTCAAATACAAAAAGTCAGAATACCTATATTGAGATTGAGGAGGGAACCAACAAAAGTCATAAGGATCACTAATTCATTAAAAGTTGGTTCTTAGGAAGAAAGATAACATAACCTAGACCATGACAAGTTAAAGATGTGATCAAGCAGAGTCTGAGTAGAATCCAGAGCCAGAGTAAAATTCAATGTACTAGATTCAGAGAAGAATCGAAAGGGTCAACCTCATAAGAGACTGGACTAAAATAAGGACACTCAGAAAGAAAGACATTCTTCTCATAAGGATGCCTCATTACCCTAGACACTCTTTAAGTTATAAGGGTGGTTGGGCAGCATGTGTATAAATGTGGAGCCATCCTCATCCTCAAGTGGAATTTTGTCCAAGGCAAATGCAAATGATACGTGTTACATATTACAATTTCGATTGGTCTGAAACTGAGTTAAATTGTAATTTAGATTTATTAGTTAATTAAATGCTGATATATATCCAATTTATGATATTTTCCAACAAGATTGACACACACAGTTTTCTTTGTTTTATTTTACAAACAATAATACAATTTACAATAGAGGTTATTACAAACAATGATTTATATACCAAAGTTTTACAAACTTCCAAGCAATATAAAGTCTTCTTTCTAGTCTGGAACTTCCATAATATCTTATCAAGGGTTGACAATGAGTTAATTTGGAGTTGGTGGAGATACAATTCACTTAATAGGGAGCTGATCACATGCTGATTACAGGTCGAGATTCTTTTACTGCTGAAGTTATATAATATTTTCATAAAAGTATTAATGACCGATGTAAATCCACTGAAGTTAAATGATTTGTAATGTTCAAAATTTATACATGTTCCTGGTCAAATATCTAAAGTTTCTCAATTAATAAGTGTTATAAAAATCACAGTTATAGCTTCTGAAGTTTATAGCAAACCAATAATAGATACTGTTTTTTGGCATGTTGCATTGGATATATATATATATATATATATATATATA